CAAGAATCCAGTGGTTTGCGACGGGGCATCTGTATTTGGCCTTGCGGGGCATGGGAAATCCAAAATGGATATATTACGAACCTGTTTATCTAAAACTGGCGATTTTGCCAGTCCCGTATAATTTGAGCTCAGATCAATATTTAAAGATTTCAAATGTTCTTCGCCGAGTGGACCCACATGGTCCTCATTATTATCCACATTTTGAACTTCACGCCCACTAGTGATCGGGTTCTGAATGAGCCCGGTTGAACTTTTTTCGATTTCTCCATGTTCTGGTTCAGTGTGGTGAAAATTTTTGCACTCTTGGCCACAAGTCAGTAAAAAATCATGTTTTTCCTCAAGTCTCGGTGGAAGAAGCAAACAATGTGTTTGGACATCATTATTAGCATCCGAATTATCGGTATGATTACTATTATCCGTAAGAAAATCCCAACAGCGTGGAGAAGATCCGGAGTTATCCACCTGCACAGCTCCAGCATCATTTTCGGATGAAACATTCGCATCGTTACTAGGAGTGTCAACCTCTTTACTTTCTTCACCACTCACATTTGCACCTTCGATTATTACCTCGATTTCCCCACTGCTCCTCTCCTCCTCCTGTGAGACCGAATTCGATGAATCAGATACTCCATGAAATCTTCCACTCAAAGCATCTGTGAGGAATACCGAGTCATATTGCTCGTCATATGTCCATATTCTCATATCGGGTGTGTATAGTCCAGTTGTGCTGCACTCACGCAGCTGCAGCATGGAAAATGGTCCACGAATTTTGCCGTCAGGGTCACGATAATGCCACAGTTTCTCGATTTCTATAATGTTAGGAGACGGGGTGTTTTCAACCGAGGCAGTGGTAGTCGAGGTATCCAAATCAGCCCTTTGCATGTCTTTATCATTTGTACTGTTAGTAGGCAAGTTATTAGTATTTTCTCGATTCATGTACTTGTTCAAACTATTTGATTCGCCCACATCTGCTTTGTCGATTGTACTATGTTGTGCCTGGACAGAACTTTCTTCTTCACCTGAACATTATGTAATTCAAGAGGATCTACTGCTTCAGTTTCCAGGAAAAACAAAATATAAAACTAATTAACACTTTACACCTATTTAAAATATTTATTAAAAAATATTTATTCAAAAACTAAAAAATAACACCTTCGTTCGGAGAGTTGGGTTTACTTCTATTCTGGGATAAATCGAAACAGCTTGGCCGCGCATATTCGTCTGCATAATTAAGAAGCATGCATCAGTAATCTAAAAACTTAAAAAAGAATAAGATAGTAAAATTACTTAACAGAGTGACAGTTTTAATGTACCCTTTTTACTGCTGTCACCACTTTTGACATCTTCCAATTCATCAACCTCCCCATTACTTCTAGCAGAACTTACAAACCCAGCAGGAATAGAAGAATCATTCTGACAATCCTCCTTTACAAGAATGTGAGACTCGAGAAGCTTCAACATTTCAATGTGACCGACACGTGCCTTTCCGAATATGCTTTTGAGCCCTGGATCACATTTGATCTGACTCTTTTGACGACGATCCCAAAGGTTGTTTTTATTTATGTATTCGATCAATAATGTTTTCACACCAAATATCGACATAGCCGACACATCACCATCCTTCATGCGTGCAACAAATTCCAAGAGGTTCTTTGTTGCCCATTCAGTACTATGTACAACTCCTGATTTTTCTGATCCCTCATTTGTGTTTTTGCAGATGCAAGGCTTGTTACCATCTTTGGTAATATTTAGATTGTTTTGATCTCTCACAATCTCTGGCACATCAGTGGATTCCTCGATGCCTGTTTCTTGCATGGCTTTGTCCATGCTTTGTTTGGTGAGCCCATCTACCCCGAATCCGTTATTTAGTGTTTCGTCATTGTTAGGATCGGTTGGTAGCGGCAAATCATTTTCTACATCGGACTTCTTCGACTCCAAAGCATCTGTACTACTGTAAGTAACAGGAATTTCTACACTAACTGCAGGTGGAATCAAAATACTTCTCGAGGGTATATAACCAACAGAAGTCACGCCTTTCTGGGGATTTTTAACTCGAGTAAGGTCGTTCAGTGTCAATGACAACTTCTCCTTTAAGATTACCCAATAGACCTTGAAGAGATACTCCCAGCTAGTCTGGTCATCAAAATCTACCTTAATCTGCATAAAAATATTGAGGACAATCAGAGCTGTCAGGGCATTAAGCGATATTCCAGGCCAGATTACAACTTTTATTACTTTTTCTTTTATACTTTTGATTAGTGTGCATAAGCTACTAAACGTATTGAATACAGATAAATGCGAATTACCCACAGGGAGTAGAAATATGTCATTTCCTACAGCATGCAATGACAGAATATTTAGCACTTACCCAAAAATCTTACCAGATTGGTTTGGTTTGGATAAACAATATGATAATAAGACTCGGAGATCTTATACTGCCGTCGTGGACAATTAGTATTGGTTAAAAGAGATGCCACAAAACTATGATTGTTAAGGAATGAATACAAACTAATATAAGTCTCAACCACAATTTCCACCACGTGCACCTTCTCTTTAACAGCATGAATAGCATGATCCAATTACAGACCAAAATTTCATTATCAAAGCAGGAAGCGGAAAGCGGTAATTCTTAAGCCCCTCTTTTATACACAAGTAAAAGGTACAATTTCTAATTACATAGTGCAAAACCAAGGAAAAATAAAGATGGAAAGAAAGTAACAAAAGACAAATTAAAGCAACCCCAAAGGTTCAATCTAACATTCTTTAGCCGAAAGAAAAAGTATACCACTGGTCTGGACAGGTACACTTATGCAAAGCTCATTAACCCGAAAACACAGAAAAACGGAAGGGAGAGGGGGAATGGAGGCACAAATTTACAAAACCAATGGGAAAGCGCAAGAAGGATAATCGAAATAAAAATAGAAACAAACAGCATAATGGATGTTCAAGCAAATGCAAACTTTTCCTCATGGTGAAATATTAAGAAACAAAGAAGAATGGAAATGAAGAAAAAAAATTATATCCCTTGTTGCATAAGTGAAAGTAATTTCTACAAAAATAAGAGAACAAACATATGTATAATGCATAAGAGGGGATAGCAACATGAATGCAATTTATCCGATGAGATAACATGAACAGAAGCAATTTTCAATTTTCATACCTCGTTGTTCGTTTGGTCTTTATTCTCAATCAGCATGATGGTTTTCATGCAGGTCGAGCAGAATCCCTTGTTTCCTCTGACACGGACATAATCTGTATATTTAGTACACCCCTTGCACAACGAATAGGTGCACGTGTAGCACATAGAATAAGAAGCCTTCCTACATACACTACATATGTGCCATCCTGAAAACAATAACACCATAATACAAATCGGCGACATGCAGATATTCCACCAGGTAATGCTCATTCATGAATTGATGTCTTAAATTCAATTAATGAAAAACTTGCATGCATGACTACAAAATGACAGAAGGATAGAGTCCAATTAAGGAGAAAACCATGTTTGGGAAGCATGTTATATCAATTCAAGAAATCAAAGTGTCATGCATGTGCAACAAATAATCAAACATCTAAATTCTAAAATGATTTTATTCGATCGGTTTCTCAAAAAAGGTTACCCAAACAATTGAATAGCCAAGGCCAAAACCACTCAACTTTCCACCATTATATAAGGTAAAAGAAAATGCTATTCCCGATTAATGAAAAGGAAGTTACTAGAACTCATGAAGTTTCCATGATAGCAAAAGGCAACACACCGCAGTTCCACTTAGCTTTTGATCGAAAAAATGCTTCGTCTCGCTTAATGCACGCTGGGTGGTAAGCCTTGGGACAGCCTCTGAGAATTGTATGAAAATTTCATCACAAGAAGTAATAAAAAGAAAAGAACAAACAATAATAATAATAATAAAAAAAAATATTAATCTGACCTGCTAGCATAATTACCAATTACACTACATTGCTTATGTCATTGAAGTAATTAATAGCGAGTTAAATCATAACCATAAATGAATATATATAGGATGTGGTTCAAATGAGAACCAAGTCCTAGTAGGAGAACCGTGAGAACCACTATTTTTAATTGTAAGTAGTGTTATGATTGATTGTGTTTTAGTGCTATTTTTAATTAGGATGTATTTTATTAAAACATCAATAAATTTTTTATTAGAATTGCGAAAATGATAGCACCATGCAATATTAAAAATAACATCATACACAATTAAAAATAGCATCAAATATGGTTCTCACGGTTCTCACACCAGACTTAGTTTTTATTTAATCCAAAAATTTTCATTTCCCGCTCTTTTTTTTTTTGTTTTTTTGGGTTATATATAGCATCTTAATTTTGTGATTTATATATAAGTACATTAAAGTTGAAATCAATTGGTATGGTTGTAAACGCTCATTTAATAATTCTTATTTTTATTCTATATATTTTTCAAATAGATTGATTACAAATTCAATCAATCAATCAACAAGCCATTAAAATATTCGTGGGTATAATAAAAAAAGAATATTCATATAAAATACAATTTTTAGTTTCAGAATTGCATAAGGAACATGCCTAACTAAAATTGCAATAAGGCTGTATTTAGTGATAATTTTAGGTAGATACTCCTGCGGTCCTGTAGGTAGTCGTAGTGACATTGTGGAATTGTTCAATGCATTCAAAATATGGTGAGATTGTGCCGTTCTGACTTACTATGAATATGAGGTTTCAAATTCTTGGTAGGGGTCAAGAGTACGATGAGCTGCGACGTTTTTTTGAGTGACTTGCACAAGGACGGTAAAATTGGAGGTTCAAACGACGGGTGTGTGATCGACATTCATGTTGACATTATTGTGAAATCCTACAGGGTTCCTATTACAACAACTATTGTCGAGAGTACTTACATAATGGTTAGGTGTTCAATTGACGATCTTAGTTGTCTAAAGGATAAAGGATAGAGCAAAACGTTCTCCATTGGTTGAGGTCATTCAGTCAGATGTTGACATTGATTTACTTTATGATCTTCACGCTCCCAAACTTCTTAATGGATACTAGCTTGGGAGTGCCAAATTATACATTGCACTTGAAGGTTGACACTCAACTCAATAATAATGTTGTCAACTCAATAATAATGTTGCTGAGGAACATAGATCATTTCATGGGGGTTTTGCAACGGAACACGTTTGGGGATTATTAAGCTCTACAACCATGTCTTCGAATATAGATTTTAAGGGAATCTACAGTCGTTGACAAAGTTTTGATCCCTCGATTGACAATCACATCATCTGATCTTAGGGTACCATTAGAGTTTCAATGCAGACAGTTCCTATGCTTTAACAATCAATAAGAGTCAAAGATAATCTCTTTCGCGAGTGGAGTTAATACTAATAACCCAATTTTCGGTTATTGACAACAACATGTGGCTTTATTTAGAGTTACGAATAGGAATGAGGCATAAGTTGAAGATATAGTTTGTAATGAAACAAAACTACGAATATGTATTCAAGGAACTTTTCAATAATATTCAGATGTTTTTGCAATTCGTTTGTTTCATAAATTATTAAAATAACCATATGTATTTGCATAAATTTGTTAACTTTTTTTAATATAACAACAGTATATTAATTAATAATTATATGGTTATATTACTTAACCTTTATTTTTGGCGGTTCATTGGTAACTAGTTTCTGTTTAAGAAGCAATTAGCAATCCATCAGAAATAAACTCACTTGCGATCGCAAAGCACCAGAGAACCACCATCGAAGCAGATAAAGCACACGTCCTCTTCCTCCTCATCCTCCGCCATTTTACTCCGCTTGGGCGGCGGCGTAGGCGGAAGCTTCACCCGCTGCTGCCCCTTGGGTGGCCGCCCTCTCTTCCTCTTCCCTCCGGCGCAAATCGCCGTCCCTGCCACCGGCGCCTCACGCAGCGGAGCATCTTCTGCAATCACCGCCGGAGAATCCATCCCTCGCTCCGGCGAGGTGTAATCGGCAGGTGCGGGCACCTCCTCGTCGTCAAATACCTGAGTCTGAGCCACGGCAGCTAACAAGGTCTCGATTTTCACCAACGATAAAGGAACGAACCACCCGGAAAAACCCTAGAATCCCTCGATTGTTCCACAACAACGAATCGCACAAGAGACGAACTCGACAACCATCGAATCGCAGCGAAACTCGGAAGGTTTGCCGGCGGATCTCGTACAGTTAGGCTCAACCAGTGATTGAGCTTTGGGTTAATGGAGGCGGTGAAAGTAGATTTTTAGCTAGCTGTAATGGTAAAGTAAGACTTTTTACTCTACTGTAATTTTGATTATTTCGTACTTTGTTTATTAACTAAAAGCCTTTTTTAATGGCACTGTGACGTCGATGAGTAAGCGGAAGTCTAATTCGTTGAAAACAACATGCCATCCCATTGGTTAACTATCTATTTTTGGGATCAAAATATACCTTTTTAATATAATTGTTTATTATGTAATGATCAATGATAAAACATATGATAACTACAGTAGTATTTAATTCATCATTTACTACACTCATTAATCATGTGGACATGTTAATTTGATTATATTAAGGGAAAAGGGTACAATCCCCCGTGTTAGTATATCTAATGACTAAAAATCCTCACGAAATCATTCTGTGACAGGATTGTAGTTTTTTCTTATATTAAGATAAAAAAGTTTAATAATGAACAATATATATGATATGAGATACGTTATCTGGCCGATTGGATCCGAGAAACTAGCCAACGAGATTAGGTGAACGTGTAGGTCAACCGGTGCTGCAGGTTGAACGGAGTCCTCATGTAGACAGAGATGTTACATGAAGAGGTATCGCTGACAAGTCGAGCTAGGGCTTTTCAGATGGCATGTTATAAACTCAACCTGAAGGTATGTTGGTCGAATGATCGACCTACGAGACATTGTACACGAGTCTAGCCAGGAAGACAATCTGATTCACGAGAGGTCGAGTCAGTCATATGGTAAAACTGTCTCATTTGGAATACTAAAGATAAGAAGGAATATTATTAAGCTAATAATCACACATGGATAGGGCCACGTGACCTAACAGAATTAGGCGGTTAGAACAGTACGAACAGACAATTCAGGCAGTTTATTCATGCAGTCTTGGTCAACAAGGTAACACCCTTATATAAAGGGGTGAAGTATGCTCATTTGCAATCTACACGCTCTACATACTTATAGAGTTTTATATTTATTGTTCATCGTTTTCATTGCTATGGACTATTTGATTGTCGGAATGTTAACGTCGAAAACCTCTCTTGACCCAACTTTGCAGGTCTACGAACAAGCCAGAACGCATATTCGGGTCGTGCAAACCAGATTGAGGTCGTTGCACACTATTTTGGCGTTTTCTGTGGAAACTCATTCAAAAATAAATCGAAACACCATAGCCATGGCGAACGAAGCTATCTGGAAGAACTTAGAGTCTACTTTCGATGATGAATGGACCACCACGCATCTGCTCGGAGCAGGTCCACCGTCAGGCTTCTTCGAGCCGTTTCAGACTGATGTCTAACCCTATGGGCTTAGGGAGCTTATTGGTGGTCCATGTTGTTGTTGGAGGCCCAAATAACCAGGGGGAGGTCAGATAGAGTATGGAGATCGTGGTTCTACCCCATACGCAACAGATCTAGCAGCGGTCATGCCAATTGGACCACCGAGGAGTGCGGTCGAGCCAGCAGGTCAACAGCTCGTTACCCTGACGAAGGCGGAGTTGAGTAAAATGAAAGACGATGTGGTGGCGGTAGGGTGCGCCCAAAAAAGATGTCGAATGCAATCACCGTTACTGATACATCACCTTTGGTCACGATCGGGTTGAACACTGTCTATCTTGAAAGATCCTCCTTCTTGATCTTTCGATAACCTAAAATACGCCTAGAAGAGGAGTCCCAACGAAAACCTCTCCAACGCTCAAGTCAAAACTCACTCACTTGTTAAATAGACTGAATATAGAATAAAGTGTGGACTGTGTGTTGTAATTAGAGAGAAAATGCCGTCCTTTTATAGGATTTAATATCTTGGAACTGAAGAGAGTTTTTGTTAGGGAAGAGATTCACCCGGATTCTACTTCTCTAACTTTTCACGTCTCTATCTTGGCAAGAGCCTTTGAGTTAGTGATTCTTTCCTCTGTATTTGGATTTTTCTTCCTTTTTACTACTATTTCATCCCGGGATCCTTAAGCCGTAAGCCCAACCTCGCATTCTATCTGTTATGGCCTTTAAGAGGACGTATCTGACTATGTCTTGAGGTCTAACACGACCTCGTCTTTAGGTATATCATGTCCTCAGACCACCTGACCTCGATGTATACTGAACTCAGGTATTTACCAGGCTCCTGAAGGTCGATACCTCCAGGTTGTTCTGTTCTGTCAGCTCGACACTTTAAACGCGTGTATGAGCTACCTAGTCGAGCATCTTTTCTTTATACTTATGGGAGTTCTCCTAGCCGAGACGTAGCCAAGCTAGCCTCTCAGACCGAGGTGTCGAGCTATTTTTCCCTATCCTGTAAGTCAATGTGTCGGGGTTAGGTGCTTAGTTGAAGGAGCTATATCAATTACTGCAACAACAATGAGGGACACAAAGGTGGGTTGTATGGTGGGGTCTGGCCAATGCTTGTCCGACTTTGGGTCGGCTACTTTCTCGTGGTGGTTCAGGGCTCCGGATTCGACTTCAGCTAGGACTATTGACAGTTCCGGGAGTGGGGGTCCTGGTCCGCGCATCTAGCTGTGGGATGGTGGCTTTTTTTTTTTCTGCTAGTGCCTATACGGGGCTTGGTTATTATGTTGGGGATGGGCTTTGTCTGTCTTTTGTTTATTGTTTTCGTGTGTTTTTGGTTGTGTTTAGTTTTCGTGTGTTAATGTGTTGTCCTCCCATGAATTCAGTTGTGTAGTTGCTTATTCCGTCTATTATTGGTTGTATCTGCATGTAAATATCTTTGAAAAAAAAAATAGTATCCACAATAATTTGGGTTCAATAAAAAAAAATTATATGTCACCTAGAAAATAGACAAAGTATAAAAAATACATTATTAGAATTTCACGCACGGGGAAACATAGTTAAATTCTTAATAAACTTCTAAAAAACAAGACGTGAAGTCCATATTTAATTAACAAACTCAAATTAGGAAAGAACATATATTATTAATAACTCAAATTTGTTCTATTTGCTTTCCAAATATTATCCCTAGGAGGAGAAAAAACATTGACCATCATCATATAAACATTCTATTTTGCTTTCCAAATATTATCCCTTTTCCAAATAGAATTAGGAGATAAAATAAACGTTATATATATACGCTTCATGCATGCTTTCCCCTCTTCATAAATCAGAGTACTTTCATCCATATAAATTCAAATTTATTCCAAGAAAAAAGAAAAAAGAAACCCCAAGTTGATTAATCATGCCAAGACATCGAGGTCGAAGCTGCAATCTCATCCAAAGAATTCCTCAAGAAATGCTGGTTTGCGAAGTTTTACGTCGAATCGCAGCCTCGTCCCACATCGACTTGTTCAATCTCAAGTCCAGGTAATTTATGTGCATTAATTTAAGTGTTTCTGGGGAAAAAAAAAACATAGGTAATTCATATCAATATATGAATAGGCTTGAATTAATATGCTTTCAACCAATCATTAGCGTGCCCAACATTTTATTTTTATTTATTTATTTATATTTATTTATTTTTTGCCAGTTTTATACGAAACAGACATATATATA